GCCCTGCCCTGCCACCCTCTCCTTCCCACAGACACCGTCGGCGGCCCAAACCCCCGGTGTGGGGTCGCAAGGAGCACGAGGCAGGGCTCAGCGACTGGCAGGTCGTTTTCTCTGTGCCACAGTAGATTTACTGCAAAGCCAGAAAATGGAGATATCTCACTGCTCTAAAGAAGCATTATAGGCATAGTGGTGGCTCTCTACCTTATTTCACACACAGAGATATTGCGCCTCCCTTGTATTATTTAATTTGGCAGAGATAAGAAGTGCTGGAAGGGTAACGCTGAACAGGAACTGAAGGAGCAGGTCTACATTTGTTACTCTCCTTTTTGTGCTGATGGGAATACAAATTAATTAAAGCTGTGACAAAACCGTGACTGGATTCCTGGGATTGCCCCTTTTATCCTGTGGCCATCAAATGGTGGGCAGATCACCCGGTGAGCTGGCTGCCCTCGCCTGAGGTGCGAGGAAGGGGAGGGCTGTTCTCTCTGGGGACGAAGCACAGAGAAAGGGGAGGATTTAGGGCCTATTGCCGCAGGGATTTCATGGGGCCTTGCTGGTGTTCCTAATTAGATGTACAATAGCACGTCCTACTTGAAAGGTAGGTGATGGACGTGAGCAAACATCGCTGCAGGATATGCAAGAGGCAAACAAAGGCCTTTGGAAATGCAGGTCTACTATCAGAACAATCTACTTACAGGGGTCACACCAAAATCAAGAGAAAATGGTTTATTTTCTTTCTTGCTCTTTAATGCCAACACAGCCCAGAAAAGAATACATCTTAAATGCAGTTTGCTACCCCATCCCTTCTGCGCACCCCTCTGCAGGAGCTCTCCTGCACGCCTTGCCAGTGCAGAATTTCTCTGTACAGAAGTGACCCTTCAAGGCTTTGAAAATTGTCTGTGTATGAGCAGAGGAGGGGAAAAATAAGACTAAGAAACCTTGACCTTTAAAGAACAGGCTTGTCAAATTTAAGGGACAATTTTCATGAAATGGAGTATTAAATTGTTCGGCGCTCTCCCTAACTGCAAGGTCCGTGATTACTGTCCTGCACCCACTTTGGTTTTATTAATTTCTAATTTCTACTAGTCTTTCTTCATTAGATGGGCAAAGAGTGGGTTTCTTGGGCTGTGGTACAGATCCACCTCCGCCTTGGAGACGAAGGGGAGGCCATCCTTGCTCCGGCGGGACCCCTGGCTGCCCAGCCCGCCGCCCCGGCACCAAGCCCAAGGCGTTGCTGCGCTCTCCGGCTCTTTCGGAGCTGCGCGTCCAGCATCTCTGCTGCCTCTGGGGCGCGTGGTGCTTTGTGCTGCCCCGAGGTGTGCTGGGCTTTGCCCCAGGCTCCTGTCGTGGCTCGTGACAGATGAGCTTGACAGCCTGTGCCGCAACCAGGTGACTGAGCATTAGCTCCCCTGCGAGTGCAGGCGCTAAGTAAATCTCATTCCTAATCCAAATCGCTTTTGATAAGAAGAAAAGCCGTGTTCAAATGAATATTTCCATCTTATTTCAAATTCTAGGTTTCAACTGCAATATTAATGCTATTTTACAGTGTAATTTACTTGTAATAATATGTCATTATTGCCATTTTACAGTTTTCTCTTAAAGTAGTAAAGAAAATGTTTTAAAAGCCACAAATAGCTGCAGCACAAGTCTCCATTCAGCCTAAGAATCTGTGCTCTCCCGTCAGAATAGCACGTAATTGAAAACAATGACATCCCCAATGCGCTAAACACTCCACTCATTAACGCATTTTTATTTTGGAGTAAGAGAGCACACTGACAGCTTTTTTGCTAAATAGTAAATATAAATTAAACATTTCTCTTCTGTTCCCAGAATGGCATCTGCCAGTGAAGCCAGGGCTGACCTCAAACACTTTCCGCAAGCGCGTCTCAAACCAACACGCTGGGTTTAGACGCGACGCTCCCCAAGGCAAAGGGTTTACCTGCGGCCCAGCACGTAAAAGGCGGCCTGCAGCAGGAGAAGCGTCCTTACCCGGTCACAAGCTCCTGAGCGCCAGGTGACCGTACCACCGGTCAGCAG